ACACACACACACACACACACACACACACACACACACACACAAGTATATGTGCACATAGATATATTCACATCTACACATAAAGAAAGTTACAATAAATCTTCATAAACATGCTTATATCATTGTAAGAGACCTTTGGCTATGATTATAGATGGCTTTTACTGAGATCATAGTTCTCTATCCAACCACAATTGAAATGGTTTTCTGACCATAAGACCCTCCCAAGGACTTCTGATGGCAATGGCAGAGCTTATTAGTGTTGTATCATCAATATCAACAGGATGAACCTTTATGCAAGCATACCCTGATATTTTCTTTTACTCCGATGCTGTGGTTTCCTGTGGCTGAGAGTTCTCTCTTTTCAAGCCCAATAGAAGAAGGGTTTTGTGCTACAAATAGAGAGGGCCCTTTGCTAAAACAAATAAGCCCTGTGTGTACTGATTTGCCTCTTCAGGGTGTTGTTGCTGATACCTCTCCCCAGACGGTGGCCCCTTCATCCCAGGACAGCAGTGGTCAGCAGCAACAGTTAGCAGTGGACACACCCAATGAACACGCACCTGCATACTCTTTCCAACAATCCAAGTAAGTTCATGCTGTGCCAAGCTTCTCCATCTAGAAGCAGAGATCTGCAAGTCCTTTCTCAAAGTGTTTCTGTTTGTTTGGTTTCACAGAAACCACCATAAACTTAGTGGTAGGCATTTCTTGAGCTCATGATCAGATGGGCTGTTTCCAGCTGGCTTCAGGTAGTATATTTTTTAGCTTGGCTATACTCTGCCCTGTTGGGTGAGTACCTGGTCATCCACAGCCTTCTGCTTTTGGATGATGGAAGGTTTGACCCTATGATTTTCATTTCATAACAAATTAATTTCCAGACCAGTCAGAATTCCAAGGACAGCAGAAAAGCAAGCCCAACAAAAGCAGGCACTTAGTTTTGTTTCTGTGTATTGGTTGTTATCCTATTGGGTTGGTTAATGCAAGTCACATGATCCAAGAGAGTTGGTGAGGGTGCTCACTTCAAGAGAAACATTGCAGTCATTAAAAAAATTTTCTTGTTACATATTCTTGAGGAAATTCTAGTATTCCCACCTGCCACTAGATAGTGACCTGACATTCTGCTCTTAATCTTAGACAGTTGTAGTGATGTTCTCAATGGAGGTTGACTTTGAACACCCATGTAAATGGTCCTGGAAAAAGGAAAATATTGTTAAATATATAATGCAGAGATTAGGCCCTGCTCAGGAATTAAATGGCAAAGAAGAATAATTAAGTATATAGAATTACTCATGAAAAATTTTAATCACCCATAAAGCAAATTACATTAGGATTTTTGTGGAACAAATGTATAGATTAAACCCTAAGAGCTCTGCTTTGAGACTAGAGGTACTAACAGTGGGAAAGAATAATTGGAGAAGCCTTTGTGTGCAAACCAGTCAACCTTCTGGATCATGACTGAATCTCTGGTGAATGGAGAACATTCAGATGAACTTGTCTGTAGAGGTTTGCTCTCTGCCATCCTTTGGCTTGTTAAAGAAGTCATTCTGTCACTCCGAAAATCATGACGAAGCTGAGCATATCAACCACACCTGTGGTCAACTGGTGAACAGATAAAGAAAATATGGTCCATAGCAACATGATAGAAGTCTATTCAGCTATAAGTAATGACATTTTGAGAGACACAAGTTGCACTGGAGGTTTATTAAGTGAAATAAACCAGATTAAGACAGACAATTACAACATCTTTGCTTTCACATGGAGAGTCTGAAATTAAATATATATTAATTCCACACACACACACACACACACACACACAGATACATGCATGTATACTTGCAAGACAAAATATATTTCTGTTATATCTGTTGCAGTGTAATGGGAAAATATCTCTAAAATAATTTAGTCAGTCCCTGCTGTCTTAGCTTCTTCAGTATAGGAACTGGAAAGCTTTCCCCCACTATCATCCTGCTAACTAACATGCCCCTGCTCTCCTGAGAAGCCCTTTGCTCAGGAGGAGATAGGAGGCCTTTAAGTACTTGCTAATGGCTGGAACTTCTCATCAGACACCAGCTGATCACCTGTGAGGTGTGAAATCTGCTCAGGGCCACTGAGTGCCCCTGAAAAGCAGCTTGATATGCCACACTACCTCTAACATCAAAATGTCTACACTCAAGACATTGTAAACCACTGCCATTACAAACAAAGGTCACCAGGAAACTCAAGAAACACGATGATAGGCTTATGAATAAAAGGTCTGCCACAAACTCTTTTCATAGTTCCATGTTTTCCTTTTCAGACTAAAACAGAGAACTAGGGCTGGGCAAGGTGGCTCAGCAGTTAAGAGCACTTGCTGCTCTGCTGGAGACCAGCATTTGGTTCCAAAGGTACACAGGTGGTGGCTCACAAATGCCTGTAACTCCAGATCCTGGTGATACAAGGTCCTCTTTGAATTCCATGGACACCCATGGAGACATATGCATGCACACATTGAGACACACAAATAAATACATAGAACTTTATGTGATAGACTTATGAGGGACCCCCCCCCCATTATCAATGCAGAAAGACTGTATGCTCTCATCCTAGGAGATAATAACTGTAGTTTATCCTGGAAATCCTATGACAATAACAATCCCCACTGAATTATCACTTATTTCTTACCCTATATATAAAACCCTAAAAATAATTAGAATCTGGAGGCTTGGTAGGTGCCTCACTTGATAAGGGCACTTGCTCTGAAAACATGGGTTCATTAGTTCCAGTCCCCAGGACCCACATAAGAATCTGAGAATGGACACACATGCCTGTAACCCCAGCATAGGATGGGCAGAGATAGACAGATCTAAGGCCATATTAGCTAGCATGCTGAGCAGAAGGTGGACTTCAGGATCAGTGCCAGGGAAATAAAGCAGAGACCAACAGAGGAAGACATTTGGCTTTTGCTTTGGCCTCCACATGTGCACAACTGTGTGTGCACCCATCCATGTGTTTATGTGAGCCACATACAGGAATGCACACACAACCAATATACATACCAAACTGTTAGAGTTTATTGTACATTTTAATTAAAATATAATCATATCATTTTCCTCTTTCCTCCCTTCATCCCTTCCCATCCCCCCCCCCATCTCAAATTGTCAGCCTCTTCTTTAGTTATTATTGGTTATCCAGGACGAAGTGGTCAGCTCTGAAACTGTATAAAGTGAACTCAGCATGTGTTTGCGTTTATCCATGTGCATATGTATAAAACAATAATAATGAAATAAAAAAATAAAGTTTTAAACTAACCAGATCTCATAAGGCATGGATGTGAGTCAAGTTATACTTCCAGATGCAGAGCAGAAGTGTCTGCTTCAAATTCCACTTGCAACTTTGCAGTTACCATTCAAGTCTTAAGGACCCTGGCCTGCCCATTTAAAGTTATCATGTCATCACCATTCCCCAAAGAGTGACAATTAGGTCGCTGATGAAAGAGATTTGCCACCATCCACCAGATTAGGGTGGATGAGAGAAATACTGAACTGTGCAATCCATGTGTCTGCCCTCCTGTGAGGGTCCTGTTGGCAAATGACATTGTGGTGGCAGTTTATGGTACTGCTCACACCATGAGATGTGAGGCAAATAATAGAGAATGATGGGTCCCTCTTTGGTAGCAAAATGGTCTGTCAGCTCATGGGCCAGGCCTGGTGGTGAATGCCTGTCCTCTAAGAATTAGGAGCTTGAGTTTGTCTTAGGCTACATGAGGCCAGCATGGGTCGCATGAGGCCAGAATCAGGAGCTGGAGAGATGGTTCGACAGTTAAGGACCCTGGCTGCCTTTGCTGAGGTTCCCGGCATCTACATGACTGCGCAAAAACACCTTTGAACTCCACTTCCAGGGGATCTGATGCCCTCTTCTGGCCTCCACATGCTGTATGCATGTGGTACATTTTCATACATACCAACAAAAAGTTATACACACAAACAAAATAAGTATATCTTCAAAAGTATCTAACTCAAAACTCAGAATGCCACAGCGACTGCATCAGTGCCTTCTAAACAGGACCCCAGTTATTTGCCATGAGGACTCCTAAGGGTCCTGTCATCATCTCCCCAGCCCTCACTGGAAACTAGGCTACCAACTGTGAAGTCTTAGTAGATACTGAAAGCAAACCGTGACAGAAGTGATGACTCACTGGGTACACTGGAGGTATATTTTGTACTATTTATCATTTGACAATCAGAAGATGTTCTTAGTCCATCAACCTTGATTTTTGACATGAGTGACCTTTTTTGTGAGTGTGTATTTATATGAAAGTAACTGCATTTGACAGCTTCAAAGGCTTGTTCCATTGCATCTTTGAGAATGACATAGTGAAAAGGCCCAGTATCTTCTAAGGAACTGTCATGGGAAATCACAGAAGATGAACTTGGATGTAATGACCAATCTTCTGCCTTTGTCTTTGCAGACCATAGACAGGAGTGAGGCTGTCCATCTGAACCCTTACCTTCAATGAAGAAACTTCACTGAGCAAGAAGTTGGTTGGCCTCCAGTTTGCACAGGCGCCAAGGGAAAGCTTTCTTCTTCTTTTATTTTTATTTTTTTTAATTTTATACTTTACTCAAAGACAACAAAGTTTTTATGTGCTGTGCAAATGGTTCCTTCGTGTGGTCTGACAGTTATTTTTGTCATCTTTTTATTTTTTTAAAGGGAAAACAAATCCTGGGGGGGTTGATATAAACATCAAAGTTGATGTTTTCTGTGAAGAACATTTGAATTCAGAAATTTGCCTGAAGGTATAAGTAGATTTTTTTTTTTTAAGTAGAAAACCTGATGTCAAGAGGTGGGCAACCAGAAGTATAAGAAAATTATTTTCCTCAGTAATTAAGCTATTTTTTCCTCTCTTTTTCTTTTCTTGATTGAACCTACTGGGTTGGTTGGTTTTTTTATATATTTTATGTTTTCTTAGAAATATTTAGGTAAGGTTTATCTTGAATCTTAATTGCCTTAATTTTAAGGACACCAGAGGCTCGAGAGGCAGGCTGTCAACGTCTTCTTTCAGAAAATATATCAAGAAAGAATTGAAGCATTGTGCCAGCTTTCACTGGCATAGAGGATGGAGACTGAGATTTTAGGGTGGAAAAAAAACTGTACAATTTAAAAGAAAATGTTTTTTTCTTCATTTGAAGAAAATCTGTTGTTTAAAGAAACCATGGCAACTGCAAGAATTGGGAAATGCTGGGACTTCTCATGAACTTTGACACAATCATTTTAAAAGGCTAAAAGACATTCTGAGGTAAAGATATTCACATTGGTTTAAAAACACCTGCATTAGAAATAATGCGTGTTTGGGGGGCAGAATGCAATTTTTTTTTAATTTACCGAGCGTGGTTGCTAGCGAAAGCATTAGTGCTTTTTATCTGCAGTTTTTCTATGAGCTTTGTCAGGTTTTAGTCAGCTTTGCTTGTCACATTGCAAAACCTAGCGTACGAGCACTAAAAACAAAACTTAAGTAGATAGATGCTTATGGTCAAAAAGTGCAAAAAATTAAAATAAAAATAAAAACAAACACACACACAAAAAAACAAAAACAAAAAAAGCAATAGATAGAGAAATTGTTGACAATTTCTGTAGTCTTTCTTAGTTGCGGTCAATTGCAGCCTACGGATGGCCTATTTTATACCAAAGATGAAGTGAGACCCTGTTACAGTCGTGATGGTAGACATTGCTTTTCTTTCCTTAAAGTTTTGTTTGACCTACATGGCCGGACCAGTTCTAACTTCATTTCAACTACCTTTCACTAGTGTTTTACATACTGCAAAAAGAATTGTTTTCTTTCTAGAAATGTATATTTGTTGATAGTTGAAGTTTGTACCTACTGTGCTCAGCTGTTCAAGCATGAAGAATCTGAGAAGGATGGATTGATGGAAGCGGGTGGCTTTCACTCCCCTGAGCTTTTCCAGCTCCCGACTGGCTCTTCTCAGCAATGGATGGATGGCCTCTGGTACACCGGAGGTTGCAGTGTCTTCATATGAACTGCAGACTAAGGAAGATTCCTGAACAAGCTCTGAGAGATGTCTGAAGGGTCGCTTGTCAGAAAGGCTCAGTGATGCTCTCTGCAGTGGGGCTCAATCCCCTGAGTAGTCCTTGTGCTGTGGTAACCATCATCTTCCTTCCAAATGCCAACATAAACAGATCTTGTCTTCTCACCTTCATTTTGTCACTGGCTCGTTTTGAAAAGACACCTTGATTCTGTACTTGGGAAGGGGGTGTTTTCATTTAAGTCTCCCCATTGTGTTCTTGTATCTTGACATTGACAGGAGAGCCAACACAGACCTTTTTAAATTTCAGTTTAATTCTCCAAGATAAGTGGGGCCAAGATAAGTTTCCCTTTAGTGCAGTAGAGGCAAGCTCTTAACATGCTAGTTGACAATCAAAAAATTGTATGATTTTTATCAATAAGAACTGAAAGAATTAGGGTTGATCCAGCACTAAAACCAAAGGAGACATTTGCACTGAGAATAATACAAAACTTGGCTTAAAATGATCTAAATTGGCTTATTGAGAAATCCTAATGGTTCTGACTCATTGTACCTGGGATCCACTTATATAGTTTTGCTTGAAGCTAGAGACAGTGGCGTGGAACTCTGTTTATGGAGCTCTTCTGAAGACTTGCTTTTGAATGAATCATTTGAATCAAGTAGGAGGAGCTGCTTCTTCAGGGTTCATCTCTCTGAGTGCATAGGAAAGACACAGACACAAACAGCAGAGAGGAAAAAACAGTAGGCTCTCAAAAACAAAACAAATTAGAAGGCAAATCACAGCCCCACAACTGAGGAGTCTGACCCAACCCAAAGGGTCACTGTCTCACTAGACCCCGACTCTCTTCTTTGTAACCCTGTGACTTGAGTGTTCAGGTCTGGAGAGTGACTTTGTATGCTGGCCACCAAACTAATTACAGAACAGTGTCCCAGGAGATGGCTACACAACTGCAGAGAAGTTCTGGGCTTCGCCCTCACCCTATTAGTTTCCTGGGCTTCGGAGGGGACTTGAGATGTCTACACCCTTCAGGGGCACCTGCTGGAAGGACGGACTTGAATGTTGTCTTTTGGGAAACAAACCCTCAAGTTCCAGGGTCTTTCAGAAAACTCACAGTTTCTCTTTCTCAGATCACCTTCTCTTGAGTCTTTGTTTAGGTAAGGATTATCCTGGGCATCGTTCATTTGCATACGGAACCAACAGACTTTCTTGTCCTTTCTGTAAAAGTACCAAATACATGTCTTCATGTGATACAAAGAGTCTCATTTGCCTAACTAACAATGAGGCTGCGAGGTAGCTACCATGTGGCTGTTGGAGGTGCCTAGGTTAACTTCACGGTCTTAAATATACATTCTGAAATGTTTCTTTCAACTCTGAAATTTTCATAATCTCTTTTCTTTTAAGCCACCTCAGGCCAAAGGAAACCATGATGTCATTTAATGTGTTTGTGTGTGTTTTATGTTTGGGCTGTTTCTATAGTGCCATTCCATAAAATCTTTTAGGAAGAAAAATACGTGTGATTTCAAATTGGCTCCCTCTTTTTCTGCCATTTTTATCTAAAATTGTTTTCGATAGTCTAATGTAGAAGGAAAAGAAAAGGCTTCAGCACATTACAGTACAACATTTTAATAAACACAAGACCCCACAATACACATGTGCAGTATGTGTAGCTCAGATGCCACAATCTCAGCCTAGTCATCAGTGCACATGGTAGTCTGCATAGGATTTATGACTACGGTCATTTTTTTAAAGATTGGAGTAAAATTCAAATTCTTCAGACTGTCAAGATGTTTTGATTTTTTTTCCCTTTCATTACCACATCTTGGATGACAAATTAAGAAAGCAACTAAAGCCACGATCCAAACAAGATAAACATCATTCATCTAGATGCTACTTAGGTGTCAGGAAAGTGGGTTTCTTTGAATAATGACAAGTTATTGGGAGAAGCAGAGTATGTGGGATTGGTAGCTGTGTCTCCTAAGGAAGGACCCCAGGATAGAACCTGTATGAGCTAATGGTAATACCAGCAGATGCTTAGTTTTTTTTCTTGCAAAAAATTGTTTAATGATTAGAATATCTATGAAAGACTGACATATTTTATATTGACTTTAAAAATCCCCTTTATTGAAGAGTGGAGTTTAACTTCGATAGGATCCTTGCACCTTCTTCATGACTAAGATATTTCAATGGGTTATCTACATAGACTGTGATGTTAACAGGCTAAAAATACTTTTACACTCCAGTCTCATTCCCATGAGTGTACAAACAACTACAGTCAAGTTGAAAATGGAGTGTCAGTCTTAGGTGGGTTTTAATGGAAACTACATGACTTCAGACTAGTGAGATACCAGAACTTCGAGTCATTTTTAATGACATCTGGCATGGGAAGAAATCACATACTAGAATATTGTATAATCTTGTCACAGAACTGTGATCTATTAATGGAAAAAAAGGATAAGGTCTCTTTTTTCTTGCCATTGAACCTGGTATGCTAAACATTTTTTTTAGCCTGCTGGCCTTGACAGTTTCACTTGAACCCCAAAGATGGCAGGATTGGCAGGCCCCAGGTGCCATTTCCTCCTGCAAAGGAATCGTGGGGTTTCTTTGATGAATCAACTCATTCTACAGTTTTGGTATTGCAGTGTGGGTTGAGAATAGTATTTCTTACCCATTCAAAATTGGACCCTTCAACCAAATGCTGTCTGCCCTTTCTGTCCTTTGTGATTACCTAGAGTTCAGGAAAGTGAAAAGCTAAATGATAAGCCACAAGTGGCCCCATGATTTGAGAAGGCTGGGTTCAGCTCTGGTTCCTAATTTCTGTTATCTTTGGGCTGATATCCCAACTTGTACCATGCAGACATAGTTGCTGTCACAGAAAGGGTAGGATGTCTTCTAGACAGTAACAGCCAAGCTGTTCTGGATGGGAGAATAGTGTGCAGAGGAATTCCTTTCACTGGTGAAGACTCTGAGCTGAGCAGAGGCAAGATGGAGCTTGGGAATTTGGGGGAGGATTGAGAGGCCCCCTGAGTCACCCGGGAGATTTTCTTAACACAGCTCCATTTTCTGAGTTTCAAAAAAAAAAAAAAATCACTGTCAATATTCGAAGGGCTAACTGACTAATCTGGGAGTGTTTTGTCTTTTCTTCTTAATGACTGACCCTGTTAACCTGAGCATTTCACCACAAGGGTGGACAGAAGAAACCACTGAAAATAACAACTCACTCCAGTCTATGTTGCTTCCCAAGTATTGATTTATCAAGGGAGTTTTAATCATTAGTGAAATCAATGTCCACACATTACACACTATGAATTTCAACAGTCCATAATGTTCTTTTTTTGTCCACCACACATAATCAAGAGTTGGCTGCATTCTTGCAAAACACAAATGGAAGAATTACAACAGCAAACTTAGCTCCCCTAAAAGACAGCTACTTTGGCTTCATTCTCTTCATTGAGAGTCAACACGAGGAAAGGAGGTCAACACAATTTCTATCAGGAGAAAATAACAATTGTTTTTGGCTAAATGTACATTTTTATCACCTTTCAAAATCTTCTGACCACAAGATCATTTTTTTATTTTATTTTGTTGTTGTCCCTGTTCGAATCAGCATCACTGTATTAAGACTGCAAGTCGCTCATATTCCAAGACATAATTTTAAGGCCACTGTGTATGTAAGCACAAAGTGTAGCATTGTTGTTACACTTTGGACTTTAAAACCCCTGGTCCAACATTATTAATAAAGTTGCTCTCTCTTCCTCCCTAAACGTGTTACATCCTCACATGTAAAAAGGAGTAAGTGATTCCATCCCTGTTAGGAATAGTAAAATTATTTCAAAGCGACATTGAGCATCAGAAATTATTCTGGTCTCCATTCTGGAAGCAAATGTCCCCATTTCCTTGAGGAGATCATTGGAATCTTCATTTTTAAGCTCTGGGTGAAAGCACTTCAGTTTCAAAGGAAACTGTGACATGGCTTCTTCTTTAAAAGCTTTGTTTTAAGTTGTCTTCAACTCCATGGACCTTTCGAAATACCATTTTGAGATTTTATTCAAGGGCATCTTTGTATGGCTGTCTCTGACTGTCATGTTTGTAACCCTATGGCGTTTCTGGTTTTATCTTTAAGTTCTTTCATGTGTATCATGGTCAAGTTAGACACCATTTCCCCTGTTCCCTGGGCTCTCTGTAGATCAGTGGATATTAGGTTTCAATTTCTGTTTTCTTTGATGAAGCTTTCAATAAAAAATGAAAATAAAATCAATGAAGCAGGGCTGTGGTGTTTGATTGCACTTTTCCAGGAACTTGTGGGAAGGTGTGGGGAGGGGGTGTGCTGTGTCTGGATTTAATCCAATTTGTTAAATTGTTATTTTTCTGGAATCAATAGAAGAAAAGATCATTTGGGGCTAGAGAGATGACTCGGTGGTTGGGTCCTCTTCTTTGTAGAGTACCCAAGTTTGGTTGCTAACACTCACACCTTGTGGCTCACAACTGCCTGTAACTCTAGCTTCCAGGGGTTCCAACACATACAGACACATGTGCATGCATGAGTCCACACACACAGTTAAAGATAAAAATAGAAATCTTGTATTTAAAAGAAAATTTATTCCAAGCAAGAAGGTGTGGGAATGGAGGAATGGACCACTCGTGGTCATTCCTGGAAGCCTGACAGAACCACCATGGGGTCCTTTAGGGAACACACAGCCTTCCACTGAGGTCTTTGTTTGGTTTCCTGACAACTCTTACATACACAAAAGGGTTCAGCAACTATCCATCCCCAATTTCCCAATATGCCCAGAACCCACCAATCACTTAGTGCTATGTGAAAGCCAGAGTTTCTTTTCTCAGCAGTGGTTTGTTTCCCTGCAACATTCAGGTGATTCAAGATCAGTGGTGAACAGTCCTTCACCTGTGGGTGATTCCGGTAAGCAAGTAAGTGGATATCTTTCTGGTCCAGATTTGCCCAGCTCTTTCACACCTTACATTCCAGAACTAACAAGTAGCCCATCCTGTGTATTTATTGTGTTATTCAGAAATATTATGATGTGGAAGATGAGAAAAATATTGGATGAAGTACATGGAATTTGTTAAATAGAGAAATTGGTAATATTTAAGACAGATTGTCTTAGGAAGGTTGAAAGCTGGGAGAGAGAGAGAGACAGAGAGAGAGAGAGAGGAGAGAGAGAGAAAAAGAGAAAGAGAGAGAGAGAGAGAGAGAGAGAGAGAGAGAGAGAGAGAGAGAGAGATGCATGTATATTCATAAACAAAATATGAGTAGAGAGAAAGTCCCAGGGAACCCTGTGTATGTATGATGTGCTGAATACCCATGCAAAATAGGAGGTCTTGGACATTCATGATGCTTGAATGGTCCCTCCATTGGTGGCTTTCATTACCCACCCATGGCAGCCCCGCAGGCCTTGAGGACATTTCTTCTCCTGCTACTGTCCACAAGAAGAAGCAGCATCTTTGGTTGGTTCTCTTCTTCTGTTGCCCTCCTTGTTCAAATCTGAATTCTGTGTCACTCAGCATCAGTGGGCTCAGGGATGCAGTCGAGGGAGGATGACGTATGAGCATCCCAGACCCATTCTTCCCGTGTCTTATCTTCAATGTGTCGTCCTATCTCATGCATTTTCCCTTGCTTCTTGCTGCGCATTTAAGCCTTCTGGTTGGAGCCTGTGAGTCTTTAAGATCCGGACTTACAAGTGTCTCTGGAGTCAAGATAATTCACAGATGTCATCTTCATGTGTTAGAATCCAGGTAACTAAGAAAAGATGTAGAGACAGGTAAGTGGTGGCCGTACTCTAAGAGCGTGCTGTATGCATTCCCTTTAGGTATTTGGACAGGAGTGACTGAAGAGGAAGGTGGAAGAAGACATTAGAGAGAAGAAAAATCTGATGACATAAATTAACTCTGTATTGTACTCTTTTTAGGCACCAGGCCTCACACTAGGCAACATATTGTTCACAGATCTGGGGTAGGGGAAGTCCAAGATCTCTGCATCGACTGAGTGAGAGCTTGCTTCCACAAAGCATGTGTTATACATGAGTGTATATGCTGGAAGTGACAACCAAACTAGTAAAGGCACCAGTCCCACTCATGAGGGGCGCCATACTGATGAATTCCACATCTCCAAAGCCCCACCTCTTCATGCCATCGCTTTGGATTTCAAAATCAACATTTTTAAAGATTTCTGTTTTAATTGCACATATATGCATGTCAGTGTGTAGGATGTGCTCATGAGTACGGGTGCACATGGAGGCCAGAGAGGAGTCAGATCCCACAGAGCTGGAGTTATAGGCAATTGTGAGCCACCTGATACGGCTGCTGGAAAACAAACATCAGTTCTCTGCAGTAGCAATATTGGTGCTTTAGTAGCTGTGTCTTCTTCTCAGCCCCTGGAAATCAACATTGTGAAGGGACACAGCCATTCAGACTTTACCATTCACCTTCTACTATTGCAGTTTGCTTAAAAGAGTGACATTTTATTTCTTGTTTATGAAAAACCTATAAGAAAATTATGTACCGTCTCCACAAGCCATATGTACAAACTTCTGCTTTAAGCTGAAGGGCATTGAAGCTTCAGAAATGTTTAACTGGGCTTCTGGAGACAAATGCTTGGACCTCAGAATGCGAGGACCAGAGGAAGAAGACCCAGGAATGAATAAATAAACTGCATGTGATATGCTGTTGCCCTTGTACATAGAATGCTTATAATTTTATGATCCAAGGTCTTTTTTTTTTACTGTTTTGTAATTTATATTCTCCAACAAGGACTGTCTGTCAAGCATGAACAGTTCTTATAAGATACATATCCCATGACGCTGTTTAAAAATGATTCGTTTTATTTTTATTCATGTGTATAAGTGTGTGGGTGTGTGTGTGTATGTGAACATGCATGCAAGGGCCTATAGAAGCCCACGGAGCTTAGGATGTAGGTGGTTGTAGTTGCCCAACACAGATACTGAGAATTGGGCTTGGGTCCTCTTCAAGAGTAGCAAACACCTTTAGTTGCTGAACCATCCCCCAATCTCCTAGTGTCTTTTATTTTTAAGAATTGCTGGCATGGTAATACTGTTGCCACTCACCAAGCCCCTTCTGCCATGTCATGCTCTTAACACAGAGACCCCCATCCCACAGGCAGCTACTGATGGCATCTATAAAACTAGCCAGCAGTGTGTGTCAAAGCTACCTTTGATCAGGATGACTGGGGAGCTCAGCCTAAGTTCACAGCTAATGTAAGCATCCCCACTGGAGATGACCTCACAGTGAATAAGCATTGAACAATTCATTTCTGAAGAGCTAAGGGCTAATCTACTTAAGCAAATTGCTTAAGCTTCCATTAACAATATACCCAATAGACTGCCATTTTTCTTTAAGCTGATAAAACTATAATAATAATAATAACAATAATAATAATAATAATAATATAATAATAAAATACATGGAGTACTTGCTGTATTGTAAAGTACACTGAGTTTTAAATATCTCACTTTGATTGCAACTTTTCCCACTTTTACTGTAAGAGAGACACTAGCAGATGGGTTTTGATCTTGAGCAATTTCAGAGAGATGGTTATGAGTTAGCAAAATAAAGTGCACAACAAAGTGTGGTGTGCCACCCTTGAGCTGAGGAGGAATCTCGGTGCACGTTGTTCTGTGTTTAGGGTTTTCCTCTTCCATCTGCCCACGCCCACATCCACCATCTGCTCAGGACGTTTCTGGAAATAGCCACGAGAAAGCTAGACAGATCTTCTGGGATTTTTCAACTCATTTGCATCTTCTCTCTGTGAATGTGTTACCTCTCCAGAAGTGAAACTGCCAAACAATGTGAAATGAAAAGGAAACCAGAGAGAACGTCCAGGAAGAATGAGATGGTTCTTTTTCACTTGTTGATCCTCTAGTGACTGAATTCTGCAGCAGTCCTTGGATATGGAGATGCCAAGTTGCCATGGGGGAGTGGTCTTCATGATTCTTAAATGTCTCGGGGTTCCTGAGATCTCTTTAGCATTCAGGAAATCCTCCTCAGACAGTAGTTTTAAAGCCAGTGGAATACATGGAATCAAAATGAAGTATTCATACTGACAAAATGTATCCAGAAGTTTCTCTTGGGGGTGGGTGTTGATATATGATACATACTTTCTTTATGCTCTGACCCAGGGACCTGACAAAGGCTTACAGGGCAGGAAGGGCACATTGTGGCTCATCGTATAAGGATGCAGTCCATCATGGAGGGAAGGTTTGGCAGCAGCAGCCTGAGGGAGCTGTCCCACAGCACCCACAGTCAGGAAGCAAAGGGTTGGAGGCTGGTACTCAACTCACTTTTTTCTTTTTATTCTTTGTCGGACCCAAACCCATGGAATGCTTCTGTCCATATTTAGAGTGGTTCTGTGTACCTCAATTATCCTAATCTACAACCCACCTGACAGATACAACCAGTGTTTGTATCTATGGCAACTTAAAATCTTGTCAAGTTGACAAGAAGAGTCATCTATGTAGCCCAGGCTGACTTTGAACTCATAATCCTTCTGGCTCAATCTCCTGTGGGAGTAGAGGCTTATGCCACTACCTGTGGCCCATAAGAGCCTCTCCATCAATACCACAAATAAGAGTTAATGAATTTTGGAATTTTTAATTGAATATCATAACTACAGTACAATATAAAATTGCAGTGTCTACTGATAATGGTGATACTATATCATTCTATGGTTTATTTCTTATAACCAAAATAAAGGAAATAGTGCCAGGTGTTCACAGTGAGTCTGGCCTTGAATCATCCATATCAGTTGGTCCCCTGTTCCCAGAAACCTCCCTTCAGTCAATATCCCCAATATAACTATCTGGGATAAAGTTATTAGATCAAAACACAACTGAATTATCAATTAAACCCCCACATTTGCTAAATTGTTTATCTACATCTTACTTATTTCTTTCGACCAGGAATAATTGGTTACAAACAGAAAGGAAGAAAAACAGGTCACTAATATGTTTTCAGTGAGAGGTTTCTTCTGTGACACTCCAGTCACATACCTAGCAGATTGTAATGGCTGTCCTTTTGGTATCTCTCTGAATCAGTTTGCTTTCTGTAGAGTGGCTAAGTTATAACAAAATGTTTACTTTTTGACTTGTAATCCTGGAAAGAAAGGTTTGAGGGACTGTGACTGCCGATAGCCTTTTTGCTGGCAGGGTCCCACCTAGCACAGGGCATTCCATGGCGAGAGCCAGGGCATGTGGCATGTGGATCTCTTCTGATCTCACCATCAGGGTT